TAACAACACTCACTGGGTCGCATAGCAGTGGCCGATTTTGGACGTCGTTCGCGATGTTGATAACGAATCGGTAGTGGACCATTGTAACCGTGATCGGACAAGTAACCCGATGGACTGTTCACAGTCCAGTCCTCCTCAACACGAACACCTCCACGATCATAGGTCCTTGATCGCCGCATACCGGCCACTGGTTGCATCAGTTGCTAAAGTCTCCTCATTTGGCATCGATGACTTTGCAGTTCGTTTATTAATCTTGCTACTCGCACGGTCAATCTTGCTACTCGTAATCCTTTACAGATTGCTTGGTCGTTCACGTTCACTACTCAATTTTTATTTCTCATTTAATGCTTTAATCCCGAAGACATCGCCAAATCCATGAAGGCGTGAAGGCTTGCGATCGAGCACTTATATTCATCACAAGGACAGTTCAGTCATATTGTATCTTTACATGATGTATTACATAAGTTAGATCAGGCATATCGAAGATATATCAGTGGTCAAAGAAACTTCAGTCAACCTGTCTTGGTCCAGGCACCGGGCATCCATATCCACCGTAATCTATTGAATTTGGCGCTGCATCTGGAAACAAATCAATTCACAACACTCATCGTCAGTTCTTTTGATTGGATGCATCAAATGAGATCTGACTGCGTCAAATGATCAAGCATCAATGTTCACGTTTGAGTCTTCCTTAACAAACTGTTGAATAATTTCCAGATGAAACAAACCGAGTGTATTCTGATAGTAGTTGGACGGATAATGGCTCAGTTCACTTCTTGGTCGATTCACTTGCTGTTGTTGCTGTTGCTGCTGCTGTTGATGGTAGACGTTCAAACGGCGATGTCGTAATCTCTGGAAAAACGGCGATCCCAAATTATTTTAGCTATCAAAAACGTCAAAGTTTTCTAGCTAAGCAACAGCCAACCATGTGGGTGAATAAAGTCAGTCTTTCGATTCACCGGATCCGAATTAATATTTTACAATTCTAACGATTGCAAAATGCTCTTGAAGTATTCCAGAAGCAAATGAGAATATTCGTAAACGTACAGCTCGTAACGGATTCTCCTCGTCCATATCGACAAGCGTATAGAAGAAAGGTTCATCATCAAGTTGTGCAACTGAGAAATCGATGAGTGTCTCACCAAGAAAAGCATTCGCTTCAATCTTATCGTAGTCCCATACAGTAACCTAAATATACTCAAAATAACACTTCCATACTAATAGAAGTGCTGCTATAACAACGTTCCATACAACAGCAAAAAGGCGATGAAGTTATCAGGTTTTAATCCACTTCCCTTATCTTCCAATATCCACTAAATTTAACCAGCTATTCGTTCAATTAGCTTAGATTGAAGAGACTTCAAAGCATCATTCAATTCAGTGTTAACTCTCAGAATAATCATGTTGTATTGAGATATTCAATCGATTGCGATGATTTTGGGAACTTTAAACCACACCAATGATTCTTTACTGCCATCAGAATTTCTTTCCCTTTAAAATTCAATTGAAAACTGGACAGTTTTCAGAGATTATCTCGTTCCAGTTCAACAGATCGGAATCAAAATGACTGCCACCAACCTCAAGAACACGTTCCATGAGCATCGGCTCGGTGAGACCATGATAATAGAACGGCTCATTCCAAATTGGTTTACATGTTTCTGCGAGGACCGCTGACTGCCGTCTGCTTTTTTCGCTGAAATCGAAACAGATTTACCGACAAATCAAACATTCTCATGCATCGCTCTTATCCTTCTCAACAAAGCATACTTCAATCACTCATCCGATTTTCACTTAAAATCAAGATAATCCATGGCATCATCGAATGCCATGTGATGACAGTTACAACTTGATATCGACGAAATACAGACAAGAAAAAGATAGCCTCAGGTAGCATAGAGCCGTGCTAAGAAGTTAGCACGATTGAAAAGTATCCGTAAATTCTGTGACTTAATCATATTGCAAGCTACATAGGATATTGTGACCTATTGCATGAATATTAGAAATCTGTTGACATCAACTAATTTCTGCTACTAAAAAATGCTGCAAAATGTGATCAAGAGATGCCAACAATATCGCTGAGGTCACACCTTCGATCGGGAAGGAGAAACAATTTCACATAGGGATTACGGGACATTCCATCGGGTCGTGGCGG